ATCTGTAGAAATTAAAGCATTATTTAGTGAAGTAGAACCAGAACGTGACCAGTATTTGCCTACATAACATACACACACACACACACACACACACACAGATATATATATATATATATATATATATATATATATATATAATTATTTATTTAAAAATATGATTCCCAATCGCGACATAAGAAGTCCCATGTTTCAAAACAAGAGCCGAAAACTTCAATATAATTATTTAAATTAAATTGGGTTAAAATAAGCTCTGTTCCATCTTCAAGCGAACTAGCCTTTGACTATAGATTCAGGTATAAAACTAATCAATGTTTACCGACATAATCAATATAAACCCCACGTGCGTCTGCTTATAGGCTCAAGTATAAAGCTAAACAAGTTTTTCTCCATAGTCTTAGGTATAAAACTCACATAATCAATATAAACCAATCTGCGCCTAACTATATGCACAAGTATACACTTAAACAAGATTTTAAGTATTGTCTCAGGTAAAAAAAACAACAACTATTGTTTACCCACATACTCGATATAAATCCAATCTGCGTCTGCTTATAGACTCAAGTATAAACCTAAACAAGTTTTTTCCTATAGTCTCAGTTATAAAACCAATCAATGTTTACCGAAATACTCAATATAAACCAAATCTGCGTCCAGTTATAATGTGAAGTATAAACCTAAACACGTTTTTCCCTATAGTATCAGACATAAAACTAACCAATTTTTACTCACATACTCAATATAAACCCAGTCTACTTCTACTTATAGACTCAAGTATAAACGTAAACACGTTTTCCCTATAGTCTCAAGTATAAAAGAACCTAATGTACACCCACATAATCAATATAAACCCAATCAGCGTCTATTTATAAACTCAAGTATAAACGTAAACAAGTTTTCAGCATAGTCTCATATATAAAACCAACAAATGTTTACCCACATACTCAATATCAACACAATCTGTGTCTGCTTATAGACTCAAGTACAATTCTAAACAAGTTTTTCCCTATAGTCTCATGCATAAAACCAACTAATGTTTACCCACATACTTAATATAAAATTAATCTTCGTCTACTTATAGGCTCATATATAAACACAAACAAGGTTTTACCTATAATCGCATATGTAAACCCGAGTCATGTTTAACTAACGAATTAAGGATAAGAAAGACCAGCGAAATCAGCTATGTTACAAACTGTTTTCCACTTTAAATTACACAGTTTTTGATATGCGTAACAGCCACCAAATCCTGCTCAACCCATAATCGTGTGAAGACCACGCGCTTCACACCTTAGATTTGTAATATATACTTCTATTTGACCGTGGGAGCGCGTGGGTGCGATGAATATAGGATAACGAAAAATATGATTGACTCTGTAATTATGCATAACCGCATTGCTGTTAATAATACAATCGTTTTATCGTCTGCCTTACACGCTGTTTTCTCTCGTTGCTCGCCCTCAGAGTTTGACGATATTCGGCGTCAGACGTAATGTGTTGATGGGCAACAATCAATGGTGATTCCCAGTTAAGCGGCGTTGCCTTCAATCAAAGCAATGCTTTTTTTTACAAAGAACGAGATAAAGACAGAAACAAGAAGGCGCGTCTGATTATAAGGGCTTAGCCGGGGCAAAAGGGAAAATATGGAAAAGAGGGTGGGCAAGAATCAGTGAGATCAGTACAAGAGAAGAACACGGGGCTTGTATCATGTGATCAATTGTTAATACATCTATCTATCTATCTATCTATCTATCTGTCTGTCTGTCTGTCTGTGAAAGGTACAAGTATGTCGATGCACAAGTTAGATTCAACATGATCTCTTGCGATTGTCCGAGAGGGGGGGTATCTATCTATCTATCTATCTATCTATCTATCTATCCACACACACACACACACACACACACACACATATATATATATAGAGAGAGAGACAGAGAGACAGAGAGACAGACAGAGACAGACAGACAGACAGCGACAAAAAACAGTGAGAGTGAGAAGCAGAGCAATTCTCTTCACTTAGACTTAGATATGAACAGACAGAGAGATAGATAGATAGATAGATATTCATATCTATCTATCTATCTAGTTGTGTTCATATCTATCTATCTATCTATCTATCTATCTATCTATCTATCTATCTATCTATCTATCTATCTGTGAATGTTACAAGTATGTCGATGCACAACTTAGCTTTAAGATGATCTCTTACGATTGTCCAAGAGGGGGAGGGGCTACCTGTTCTCTTTTTAACTGAATAACTCTTCAGTAAATCTTAAGACAAATGTCCTCAAGATTATGTCAAGATGGCTAAACGTCTTATCTGAAAACCACGAAAAGAGAATGTCGATTAGTGATTTTTAGATATTAATCATTTTGTTGGATGGATACTTATGCTGCTACATGATTTCGACATTTTTGGTGTTACACCCGGTATTTATATATATATATATATATATAGAGAGAGAGAGAGATAGCCCCCCCCCTCCCGGACAATCGCAAGAGA